AGAAAGAGTTGAGCGCGCACGGGCAGAAATGTTGAGAGCGCAAGCAACACATTGCGAGCGAGCGCAAATGCAAAAACTGAGCGAGTGGGGCTGCTATTGTGTGTGTGTGTGTGTGTGTGTGTAAGGATAATAGCAAACACTGAAATACATTTTTTGCACGCAGGAATGAATTTTGTTCACTCAAATTCAGCTTTTCTTCGCTCAAAATAAATTTCTCCTCAAAATATAACACTTGCAACTGCAAACTTTTTTTTACGTGCGCTCAATTTATTTTTATGTGCGCTCAGAATAGTGGCACAAAAATAACGCCATACCATTTAACTATCCTTTTTCCACACTCTTTATATAGTTCATTTTAAACTCTTTTGAATCCTTTTGAAATAACAGTGTGCACCAACCAGCCACAACATTAAAACCGCTTGCCAAATACGATAGCTCTGCAAAACCTCTAAAGGTGTCCTCCAGGCACCAAGATGTCAGCAGCAGAGCCTTCGTTGTCGTGATCTGTAGATCACGCTATTTTTTCTTTCTTTCATATCCTTCGTCACTGAGATTGCGATGTGGGAAATTTTCAGGCCACACCTTGATCTGTTTATGCTTCTCAAACCATTCCAGAGCACATTTGCAGTGTCAATTCTCCTGGTGGAAGCTGAAATACAGTGAATGCGTTTGCATGGTCTGCTGGAGTGTCTACAAAGGTGACATGCATCAACGTAACAATACACAAGATTGTTAGGAGCTAGTATTCTCTGGAGTGTCACACTGCCTCTGGTGGCTTGCCGTTTTTCCATAGTGCGCCCTGCTGCTACCAGGTGAAAGAGGTGCACGCACCCAACCGTCAACAGGACTCACAATCCTGCTTATGTGCTTATGTGCACATTGTACCAGAGACATGGGAGAGGATGGCCACTGCATTAAATCACTCAGTTTCTTGTGCTTGCCCATTTCCTTCACTTCTAACACGTCTGCTCCAAGAACTTTCTGCCTAACGTGTCCCACTCCCCTCACATTTACCACTGTATTCCTTGTTATGTTGGTGGTTTCAATGTTATGGCTGATCAGTGTATATAAGCATGTTGAAGCAACATTATTTTTGCCAAACAAATTTCCCTGTTCTATTGATTTCTTTTTTTCTCTTCTTTTTAATAAAATCTGAATACGTTTTTTTTACTGTTCAGCTTTTATTGCTTATTCGCTGTCTCATTTTTATATTCCAGGAAGTTCCCTATGAAGCAGGGAGTGTCTGCATTTTATATGCAGAAAATGGTCTGCAGTTCTCTGCTTCCTAGGTCAGAAGCTTGTTTATTTTGTCTCAGCGGCTACGCTCAGTCCCCAAAATGAACACTGATAGAAAGCAAGATATAAATAAATGAAAAGTTCCCATAATTGGCATGCCTCATATTGTACAATATTATCATTGTTGAGATTTTTATTTGAGCATGCACAAAATGCTAGCAATAATGAATTTCTGTTTGTTTTTGAAGTTGATTACAGTACATTGAAATAAAATCTAGTGGCCTGCTCAACCTTTGTCTTCGTTTTTAGTCTTCTTGACATAACACCTCCACTGTGCTACAAATACTCCACATTTATAACTTCATCAGAATCAGATGCACATTTATATGTAATATCTAGTAACAACACAGAGTTTCTTTTTTGGATGACAACATATAAAAGAAACGTAATAAAATCAGCAACAAAAAAATTGAAACAGAGAAAAAAACTATTTTGCTGTAAAATTGGGACTACTAGCCAACATTAGTTGAGATGCCTGTATTAACTATCTAATTATTTGCACTGTAGATGCCTCTTCTCTGACCATGGAAGGCCCTCGCAGTGCTTTTTCCACCTCTTCCAGCTCCACCATGCATTCCAGTAATCTAACCAATGACCAGAAACCAGTTAAAGCCAGTAATGTTGATCCAGACGACACCAGGAGTACCAAAGTGGTACCAGAGGCTGCTGGAGCAGAACGTGGAAATAGTAACGGCAGGGGCAGCGGCGAGCTAGCAGGAGGAAAAGGTGTAACAACCCAGGAAGGCCCACTGCATCACCCACTGACTCCATCAAAGCGTCGCACCGTACTGAACATCTCGCCACCTCCAGAAGATTTGTTTGATGACAGCCAGATGTCCTGCCAAGATGATGGGACCCAGGATACAGAGCAAAGTAACAGCATCTGGATGGATGAATCTCTGTCCAACTTCAGTGTGACGAGCACGTTGTCTTACAATGACAACACAGAGGTGCCACGGAAGTCCCGCAAACGTACCCCCCGTCAAAGGCCTGGCCCTAAGACGGCGCCGCCAGGGGAGGGCAGCATGGATGTGTTTGATGCAGACAGTGCCAAAGGCCCGCACTTTGTCCTGTCGCAGCTAGGCCCTGACAGCAAGGGAGGACATAAAGGAAGGTTTGTACTTTTTGTATTATGATCACCAGAAATTTGTCACATGCCTCTTGACATTTCATGGAGTTGTCAAAAATATTTCCAGTGGTTTCTTCCTGATAAAAGGGAGTTTTTCCTTCCCACTGTTGCCAAAGCGATTGCTCATGGGGGTCATATCATTGTTGGGGTTTTCTGTTTTTTCTGTACTATTGTAGCACCTTGAGGCAACTGTTATTGTGATTTGGCACTATATAAATAGAATTGATTTTGAAATAAATTATGTTACATTATCAGTAAGTAAAGAAAACACATTGATTTAGGACATTGTTGACTCACTTTGTTAGCTAACTTTTTGTTCATTTAATAGTTTCCTTTGATAGTTGCACCAGCCCTTTAGTAGTTACTTGGGTACTCAGGCTTTCTCTGACTATAACTTTAATAAAGACCCGTTTTAATAATTTTGCTCAGCCCTCATCGTTATTGTAGAAGGAGGTAGTATCACGAAATGATACGTTGGCACACACCGACAGATGGAAATCTTTACCAAACTGATCTGGCTCTAAATTTCCCACCACACTTTGACTGAAGGAGAGCGGTTAGATCAGAGGGGAGGGAGGGGCAGGATACTGAAGTACAAACAATGGTCAGCCACAGTGAATCACAGAGCCCTTCTCAAAGACCTAGGATAAGCAGAGCAGATTAAATAAACAGATAAGGCTGAACGTTTTAGGAGCTGGGGATAGAAAATGTTTGGTTGATGGACACCCTCTGAACTCTGCATTGCTTAGAGCACCATGGCAACTTCAGAGCAGTTTCACTGTTGTGACTGAGAGCTATGTACTGCAGCAAACCCCAGCCAATTGCATACAGATATATAATACTGTTCTTTTTTATTTAAACTGGGGTTCTGAACCTAACATTGCTGCAAACACTTGCATGGATTAAATTGAAGACTTTTTAATCCATCATAGGCTACATGAAAACATTAGAATTAGAGATCATCTGCTCGTGTCTCTGTCAAATTGGTCTTTGCTGCAGTTCTGATGAACCTCAGACTACTATTCAGAAAGGAGGAATTCTCTCGATGCAGTTCCCACAAAAGAGTGAGGGGAAAGAGTTGAAGGTCCTCGTCCAGCCTGAGACCCAACACCGAGCCCGCTATCTGACTGAAGGCAGCAGAGGATCAGTGAAGGACCGCACTCAGCAGGGCTTCCCTACTGTAAAGGTAATTGTAAAACCCCTCTGTAGTTAATGTTGAAACTCTACTGCTTTAGCATCCCTGTGTTTAACGTTAGCATAGGGTGAAAGTATTTGCTGATATTGAATTTATTACTTGCAACATTTTCCAAAGAAGTTGGGGCACTCCTGGGCATCCCTACAACTTTTTTTTTTAACAATACTGTATTGAACTGAGAAGACAAGTTGCTGTTATTTTGAAAGCAAAATGGTCCCTCAATTTTCATTTGAGCCTCCTAACAGATACGCCTCTTGTGTTTTACATATATCAAATGTTTTCTCCAAGTGATGGGTCTGGACTGTGTTCACTGACAATGATTTTGTGAAGTGTTCCACTTGTGTTCAAGTGGATATCTAGGTCCTTGGGAGGATGAAACAAAGTGTCAGAGTCTGTAATATTTCATGAGACTGTTAGTTCTCACTGCTGTTCACAAACGAGGAGGTTGGATGAGGAAATCAGCTCCTTCAGACTGTCAGTCACTTATCAGGAATCCAACTTTCACTTGAGTTCATGTGTGAAAACAGGGACCTAAGCTTTAAGGAGCTGTAGCTTGATGAAAAAGGAATTAAATTTTATGTACTCGCTCAGACTAAAGCTGTAACTGTAGTTAACCGACTTCAAAAGCAGACAAAAACCAGACGTTAGTCAGAACAGGCACATTGTCTTGTGTTTGATCATTCATTTGCCCAGGTTCTGCAGATGGTCACAAGGCAGCCAGAGCCCAGAAATGACAGGTGAATCCAAACTGATAAAACAATCACCAAAGCCATAAAGAACTAAAGCTGACCGATTTTCATCTGAAAGCAGAATCCAATAATAAATTAATCCAACAATGTCCTTGAGCAAGACATTGACACCATCAATGTCAGGGCAGGTAGGTGAAGATGCACAAGTTCAGCTGAATGCACAGAACTGATTGGGCATTATATGATGGAATAGTGTAAACTGGGAGCTCATTATTAGCACAGAAGTTTCAGAAATAAGCAGTTCATACTTACACTCCATAGTTTTGTATGAAAATGTTATGACACAGCAGATCTACAATGAGCTCCGTTTGATTGCTCATCTGTTTTTGCCTTGCACAGATGGAGGGAGTGAGTGAGCCAGTGGTTTTGCAGGTGTTCGTTGGCACAGATGCCGGCCGCGTGAAGCCTCATGGGTTTTACCAAGCCTGCAGGGTTACTGGTCGCAACACCACAGCCTGCAAGGAGGTTGATATTGAAGGCACAACTGTTATCGAAGTGTCCCTGGATCCAAGCTCCAACATGACCCTAGCGTACGTGCTTTTCTTAAAACTGAAATTGTGTCATTTTAGTGATAGTTGTTAGTCCAACTAAGAACATTTCCTTATAATTGCCAAAATCCTCTTTTCGAGCAAGTAAACCCAAGTTAGCACTGCCCCTTACTGCAGGGTGGACTGTGTTGGGATCCTGAAGCTCCGCAACGCTGATGTAGAGGCTCGCATTGGGGTGGCCGGATCAAAGAAGAAGAGCACACGTGCTCGGCTCGTGTTTCGGGTCAACATCCCCCGTCCAGATGGTTCAGTGCTTACACTACAGACTCCCTCATCTCCAATCCTGTGTAGTAAGTCATTTTTCTCATACTTTGACTGGAAATACTATGTTGTGAAGTCGGTATATTAGTTAAACCACTTAAAAAAAACTTTGTGCAGAAAATTATCCAGCAAGGTTTAATTACAAGGTACTATTTACGATATTCATGTAGTTATGACAGGTTAAGTGTGCGAAAATGGGTAGCTGACCTGTAACATGCTTGTTAGTAATGACTATAATACTGTAAACTTAATTTTTTTTCAGTTCCTGTTTCTCCATTTTTAGAGTCAGAGGTCAGGAGACTATTGTCTTCTGATATCAACATTTGGAGAGGAAGGAGACAAAGATCCCATTAGACTGAGTTGTTTAATAATGCCTACAGAATGCCTACAGTACAAAGGTGTGGTTGGTTTCATAAACAGGAAAGACGCTTAGGGCCGTAAGAAAATATCTGTGTCAGTGGATTTGGGAGAATTTGCTCTGAGAGTGGCAGGGGAGAAAGAGAGGGCAAGGACGAAACAATAGGTGTGTGAACTTCTATTGTTTACACGGAGCCAGCATACAACCCAGGGAAATATCTTTCCACGAAACAAGAAAAAACAGTAATCCTGCTTGGCATCTTAGTGTGTGTGCATGTTTGTACGTGTGCGTGTGTGGGGGCGGATATTACTCATATCGTGGGGACTTAAAATCTGTTTATACAGTCATATTATGGAGACTGCAACTCGTGACCCGACGAGGTAGTTATAAGATTGGGTTAGATCTGAGAAAGTAATGGTTATGTTTAAGGTTGACATGGTTAATAATATCCTTTGAAGTCAGAAGTGTGTGTGTGTGTGTGTGTGTGTGTGTGTGTGTGTG